ACGGTTTATGTTATTAACGAGATTTAACGGCCGTAAAGTTAAAAACTTTACTTATAATTTTACGAAATTTACTGTTAAATAAGAGTAAAAGCTGGTAAAGTGGATATTAGACTTAAAGACTTTAAAATATGTATTTATTTATAACGTTGTATGTATTATAATTTCGTATTATGTAAAGAAAAATAAGTGCGATAAGTTTATAAGTAAAAATTAGTTTAAAAAGTTTATTTATTGTAATAATTAAATATAGATTAAAATAAGCTGTAAAGTAAAAGTAAAATGATTTAATGCTTTTATTTCTAAAATTATTAATTAATATTTCAATATTAAAAAACTTTTTAATATTAAGTTTAAATTAGTTTTTAACGTTAATAAAAAAGGAATTATGTTAAAATATAATATGTATACTTTTATTTTATTATTTTAAAGATTAATTAGTTAATTATTATATAATTAAGCTTTGATAACTTAGTTATAAGAAGTTTAATAATTAAAAAAGCGTTTTTTAAAGAGCATTGCTATTCGTGCAGTATGACTCTGGCTAGCCGTGCAGTATTTCCTAAAAGAGCAGGCGGTCAGGACTTTTGCCAGGCGTTTCCCTCGCCAAAACGATCAAAAGCACGCATTTCGCTAAAAATCTGAATAACTCTATATGTATGTCTCTAGTCAATTGATAATTACAATCATTCAAAAGCGCTCGATTCAGCGATTCTAACGATATAGGTTTCAAGCCCTGCATCCCTCGTTTGACGCGGCTAGATGGCAGCGAACCTGGCGGCCTAGCTCCCTCCCGCGGCTATTCCCCGGCTATATTCATACTTAGTCGTTTTGAAAATCGCTGGAATCTCCTATCCTTCTATATAACCTATCCAAAACTGGGATGCAGCTCATGAAACATATATCATTAGGATGGCTGAATCGAGCGCTTTTTAATGAATCCAATTATCAATTGTGAGACCTCCGGGAAAAGAAGTTATTCGCGTTTTTGATGAAATCTGCGTTTGATGAGGTACGGCCGCCGGATTTCCGCCACCGCCTTCCCCTTTGGGAAAATACTGCACGGCTAGTCAGAGTCATACTGCACGAATAGCAATGCTCTTTTTAAAAGCTTTTAAAATCGTTTTTAGATTTTTTTTATAAAGTATATTAACGTTACCGGCGTGGCTTTATTTTTTAGTATTATATTTAAAGTTAAAGATATGTATATATAATGGTTTAAGGAAGAGTTTAAGAAGATTTTGGATTAATATTTTATTACTTTTAAAAATAGTTAAATTAATAATAATATCGTGATTAAATGGCTTAAAAATGTATTTATATTTTATATTAACGGCTTATTTTATTACGAAAAAAAAAATGGTTATTGATATTAAACGGTTATAAAAGCCATATATTAGTAAGCATTTAATTTTTTATTTAATTTAATTTACCTTAAATTTTTTCGATTTTTCTTTAATTTTTTAAAATTATATATATAAGTTAACTTACTTTTACTTAAAATGAATTCATAAAAATTTGCTATTTAAATAATATTATATTATGCTTTTTATTAGTACACATATTTTATAAATTTTAACTTTTAAATAACGAGCTATTTAACGTTTTAAAAGTAACGTATTATAAAAAATTAAGTAAATTTATTACTTTTATAAATTTAATATTAATTAATAAGTTTGCTTTTATCGAGTGTTACGATCGAGCTTGTCGCGCAGCGTTTATTAAAAAAAATATAAAAGTTAAATTTAAGATTATTAATAATTATTTAAGAGCATTGCTATTCGTGCAGTATGGCTCTGGCTAGCCGTGCAGTATTTGCCCAAAAGGGAAGGCGGTGGCGGAAGTCCGGCGGCCCTACCCCATCAAACGGCTAAGTACGCATATTTCAACAAAAACGCGAATAACTTCGCATCCAAGGGCCTTATGATTATATAATTAGAACAGCCTTATTCCTCTCAATCTAGCGATTCTTTTTATATATATTTCATACGTTGCATCCTAGCGCTGGCTGGGCTACGAGGCATAGTATAGAGAGCGCAGCGATTTTCAAAACGACTAAGTATAGATATAGCCGGGGAATAGCCGCGGGAGAGAGCCGGCCCCGACATTAGCGCCGGCTTCATCTGGAAATAGCCACACGAGGCCAGGGATGTAAAACCTGAAACATATATCAAAAGTGTCGCTGGATTAAGACGATTCAAGCGATATGAATTATTAATTGAGCGAGCCACTATATAAGAAGTTATTCAAGGTTTTGTTTAAATTCGCTGTTTGGATGGTTTTAGCGAGGGAGACGCCCGGCAAAACGGCTTACCGCCCACTCTTTTAGGAAATACTGCACGGCTAGCCAGAGTCATACTGCACGAATAGCAATGCTCTTATTTAATTAATAAGAGAAAAGTTTTAACTTACTTTAAGATTTAAAAAGATCGCGAATTTTGTTTTCCGCGAAATATTGCGAATAACAAGGATTATAAATTTTCTAGCTTAAGTTTTAATTTTAATATTTTAAGAATTATTAATAAGATATAAAATTTGGTTAAAAACGTCATTTTAAGGATCCGGTTAACGTTAAAAAAAATAAATAAAACAGTAAAAAGGATAAAAGCCGAAGCGGTTATATATAATTAACGAATTAAGTTTTTAAAAGTTAAGTTAATTTAAATTAAGAAAAAAATTAAACGTAAAATGTTTAATTTTAATTAAAAATTCATGATTATAAAAAAGATATTTAAAGCCGAAAGTAATAAAGTTAATGAAAATTCTGGCCCGTTTACGGCGGTTTTAGAGGTGGTGGTATAAGTAGAAAGTAAGGATATTACTATAAAGTTTAAAGCTAAATTAAAAAGTTAAAATTAAACTATTTTATTATTTAAATAAACCAAGTCGAGGAAAACTATTAAGCTATTAACTAGATATGATGATTAATTATTTAATTATCTTTTAAGAGATATTACTTTTATATTTTTGCGATTTTTATTGAATTATTTATAAGTTTTTAAAGTAGGTGAGTTTTGGTGGGGCAAGGCTGTCCCGCGGGGGGGCTGTCCCGGCACCACGTGATCCATGGTATCCGCTAAGGGTGAACCCACAAACCGGGTCGAAATAGCTCACTAAGCTAAACACTACTATATAAGTGTGCAATAACTAAAAAGTTTTCATCAATCGCAGGTCCTTTGGCCCAATGGTAAGGCGTCTGACTACGATACCATGTGTAATCAGGAGATTCTGGGTTCGACCCCCAGGAGGACCTTCCTTTTTATCTTCTACTTACATTTTTGTTCTTAGGATGTATAGTATGAGTCTATAGCATACGATGCTGAGGGTTGAGGCATGCTGCCCCTCTAGCTTCCCCCTTTATCTCTAATTATTTATACTTGTCTAAGGGTCTTTACTCATGTAATCTTTGATATCTATTTTGTTAAGGGAATATTGGACGCCTTATGCTGATCCAAAACGGCCAATACGGATGAGGTGAGTGGTTTGCCATGATATAAGAACTCGCTGCAGAGAGCGTTTCGTGGGATGGACTAGAACCATAGGGGTTTTTACTATACTCGATATGGATATACTTCTTAGTCTGGAGCTTCGAACCATGAGACATATCGTTACTGGGTGGCATATACGATATCCATTTTTATTTCATATATACTCTAAATCTTACACACGGCGACTGCGATAGCTGGTGACTTCTAAGGTTATGATTGTAGAGGCCGTTACTACAGCCACAAGCAACGAGAACGGATATTATATAAATAGCTAACATGTTCGATGGTTGACACCGGCTTTACGAGTGTCACAAGGTAGACCAAGAAGCCTAGGAAGCAGCTATGTTGTCGCGCAAGGAGCCTCAACCCCTATCTAGCTAGAACTAACGACCTATATACCCTAGGCGTCCTTTGTTCCTGTGAACGCCCCTATCCCGGGATATAGGCTCTAAGGGCTGGCCCTCTGGTATCAGGGACAACTCCCTTCTTACTAGGCACGACTCCCTCTGTACAGGCTGCTAGGACAGCCTTCTGACAACGAGGAAATAATCAATCTAGTCATAGTTGAGTAGCTTGATGAGGCAGAGAAGTTTATAGTTCGTTAGGAGTTATCTTTTATACGTCGATCTGAATATTTCATTAATACGGTTGAAATCCCCGGCGCAATAACGTTGATGCTTCTTCGCTTTTATGTCGGTACCGTGAGGGATTATGCAAAAACCAAAATGTTTTAGATACTATAGGCTCGCTATCGTGTACATGAAACTGGCAGTATTTTACTCGGGTATGACTTCAGTTATACTTAACGAATATTCTGACTCTTCTAGCCATGAACCAATTCAGCTAGTGTACCTCGACGTCTTTGGTACAACGATAGCTGACATGCAATGTACAAGGAATGTCCTGCTTGAAGGAAGTATTACCATTCAAGCTTACAAGTATCTTAATTCTTAAAGCATATCTAGAGTGTGAAGATGTGAATAGCTTGAGCTATGGCACCTAATCAATTTAATTGACGGCCTTCCTCCCTGGCAGGAGAACGTGGAGCCAGCGGATATATGAACACCCTCTTAACAACTGTACAGTGATCGATATGTCGTCTTTGGTCAATCTGGATAGTATTCAGCACGCTAACATCTGATAATGTAGGTTCTACAACTATCAACGGACATAATCTACCCATTTTTCTACCCATCGATTGCTAAGAGTAGAAGCCCGAAGTTTGAGCTGATGGTACTCGTGTTCTCGTCATCATTTATAAGCCCGTAGCTTATATGAGATGACACAATGGTGGCGATGCTATCGCCTGAGTGAAATACGATACTTATAATAGTCCGAGTAACTGAATTCATCTATGATAATATTTGATTGCTCGGTTAGTGACATTTATACAAGCCGCCGCATTCTGGATAACCAGATAGATTAAGCTGTCCGACAACGCAACATGCAAAAAGTTGGGTTTCACAAAGACCGAGTAAAAAGAATTACAGGGTTGATAAAACCTGCAAAAAATCAAGGTCCTCCTGGGGGTCGAACCCAGAATCTCCTGATTACCAAGGTGGTCGTAGTCAGACGCCTTACCATTGGGCCAAAGGACCTTGAAGTGATTTGGTAAAAATGTGGTATATAAATCTTGTGTGCCGTGTCAAGCGCTATAGGTTAGTGGTGGGGAACACCGTGGCTCCGTACAGTGTGGCGGTGCTGAGCTAGCTTGGCGCAGAGCGTGGTTCAGTGTGTTTGCAAACGATGGAGGGGCCTAATAAAGCATTTCGATATAAAAACCTTCTGATTTTATTTCTGGCATGGTGGTTATCGTAGCTATGGCGTGGTTTTCACGCTTAGTGCTTGTTGATATCTCTGGAAGATGTTCATGTTTGAACGATCGACCGATTAAACAGATGCATAGAAGACTCGATGCAGTATTGAGGTAGCAAGGGAATGGATCTTAGAGCACGAATCTTGGAAAACTACGTGAGGCCGACCGACGTACGTCGTTCGGAAGGTCAATACTATGGGCTGATCAGATACGGAAAAGACGGCGGCTAATAATCCAGTGGCGAAGGAAATTTGTAGTTCATCCCTTGAAACTGTAAATCACTAATTAAGTCGAGATTATGGAGGGACTTTGGCAACCTTGCCAGGCGATACTCTAGCTGATGATTATCGTGGCCTCTGGGATATTGTCCTAAATGAGATAGGGCCCACGTGGGATTAAGTCCCGGCGATGTAGATCTTGACATTATCTTCGATTCAAGTGTCTAAAAAGTAAGAGCCCTGAGAGAATAGGGGAGTGGAAGAAAAGGTACTAACTCCCAGATCACATATGTGGATGTTGTGAGATAGCGTTAGCCCACGTGCGACAAGCAATTAGATGCAACAAGGTCTCAAATGGGTCTTGATAGTGGGATTGGTATAACAGGTAAAATAACTTTAAATTTCCTTACTCGTCACATCTTGACCTATGGTTCATCACGATGCTTTGTCAGTTCTAATTATTATTATTTATTCTATACGTGTATTTCATTTCAAGAAATGGGTAGCGACTGGCGATCCACGAGAAGATGCATGGGGGAAAGGTGAGGATCCACTTGCGCAAAAAAGCAGCTAGTAATTGTGGATCCGGGATCCGGTTACCTAGGCGACGGTGTGTGACGTTGCAAATCCATGGGGATTGGGCGCCTAATTTGTTTGTCCACAGTCCAAGGCCATAGGCAAGTGCGAAGGGCGGGACAGGCCGGATCATACAGTAGTAGAGTTTATCACATATTATTACCAGGACCTTCCTTAGATATAGCCCACAAACCCATGCTCCGGTTTTCTTCTTTGTCTAATCTTCAAGTCTATCAACCTTGGAAGCTTGTTGTCGACTGTCATATCTGATATTGACTAAACATCAATTCTTCAATTCCCGCTTCGACGGGGTAGCTTAGGCTATAACACATACATACCACTGTACAATTGTTTAATAGTCTCGCATAAAGTACATACACAAAGCACACAAAGCGATATCAACAAACTCGCGACTTAAGAGACACATCATTCCATCAATCTAACAGAAACACCAATTCCCTACTCTCCTGACGATGCCGCCGGTCGAGCGCGATGCCCCGGTCGACCGGCATCTAAGACATCAACATTCTTCTTCAATCGGTGCTATTGTACCAATGTAAGTGCCTGCTTTTGTCATCTCTACCACTGTTGACCAGCAATGTGGTTGTATCGTCGCCTAACGAAAAGTTCTAGGTGGGATAGCTCCGATCCAGAGCGGGCGCCGCCCCCTCTGCCTATGAATCCCCAGTCGCCCGGCGTTGGTCCTTCACGGAGTGGCACATCGCTAGCTATTCAATCTGCGCATGCAGCACTAACCGAAAAGGCGCGCGAGAACGCTCTCGTCCCTCACCTGGCGAAACGGATGACCGAAACTTCGCCCGAGCGAGCTCTCGTCCAGAGAAACAATAGCCCTCACAAACGAATGCAATCACTCCAACCGGGTAGCGTTAGAGACCTAAGTCTGATGATCGAGGGCTCAAGAGATCGAGACTCGGCCAATTCTACCCCTCGAGGGTCGCCCGAGAAAGACAGGTCCGCGAGACCGTCAACTCCGACCCGAGGCAGGGACCACGAGAGAGAGTCGAGATCAGCAGAAAAGGAGAACACTGCCCCAGGCACCCCTACACCCATGCCTAGCTTACCTTCTGTTGCTCGCCCCTCAGCGAGGAGGCCACCGCAGAGCATCCTCGGTGAAAACACACCACCCCAATCCGCTACAATGCTGGCGTTACAAAACATGCCTTCCGTATCATCGCGAGAGGCTGAATCACCTCTCGCGACCGTCACGAACAACTCTACGCCGATGATGAAGACACAGCTCTCCCCCGAGTACCTATCAAACCAGCTTCTCACCCTTACCAATATTGCGACAGCACTCCAAAAGGAGATGTCTCAGCTCAGTCGTCGGAGTCGAGACAACGCCACCGATTTGATGAGCCTCAAAGAGGCCACGCACGCTAGAGATGAAGATATACGAAAGAGTCTTCGTGACCTGGCCTCGAACGTGGACACTACTCGATACCATAAAGACTCTTACACCGGCGGCTTGTATCTTGACAATAAGCCTTTCAACATGTCACCTGGATCGAGGATGGGACGGCCGATTTCTCTTCCGAGGATCCCCTCGCCCAATAGTTTTGCGGCGTCTATCGACCGAGAGTCGAACTTGAGCACACCATCTCTCGTCGGTGGCGAGTCGCCCGCCACGATGGCATTACTAGAAAAGATCATTCGAGACATGGGTACAGGTGACGGCCGAGATACAATCATGGGCCGTCTGTCTGAGCTGGCTGAAAGACTAAGCGGCATGGCCTCGGCGGGCAAAGTAGAGGAACTCATCCATCACCTGAAGACAGCCAACGAGCACCCAATAGGCCACGCAACCGGTAGCGGGTCAGACAAGACCAGGACCTTGAGCTTCAGTAGTGACGACTCCGGGTCCAAAGTTAGCAGTGCGGTGAATCACAGGGTCGAAAAGTTGCTCTATGTCAACGGCAAAGAGACTCGACGAGCTTCACCTTCTCCAAAAGCAAGCGATGTCCTCAGCGGAGACGTCATAAACATTATCCATTCCATCAAAGACAGTGTTTCACAGGCAGGAGGTATGACGGCCGAAGTTAAGGCCCTCGTCCGGGAGCTACGTGGTGAAGTTCTTGGGATGGGGAGGGAGATCAGCAGAAGGCTCGAGGACTGGCATGGTAAAGCTCCTAGTAAGAGTGAGACCGCCAGCAGGGCTGAGCTCGCGAGAATCGTAGAAGAAGGCTTAGAGCAGATAAGGGTCTACATGGCCCAACGCCTTAGAGATCACAGGCGCGTGTCTTCCGAGACAGAGAAATCGGCAATTGATTACCAGGAGATCTACAACGCCCTGAGGACTGCTCTCAGCGACACAGAAGCAACACGACACCATGATCAACTGAGCCGAGATGATGTCATCGAGGCTGTGAAGGACGCCTGGGAGAACTATAAGCCCGAGATCGAAATACAACAGATCGGCTTGGAACGGGACGAAGTCCTCGACTGCCTAAAGGAAGGGCTACAGCAATATGCACCACGTCATGAAACGCCACAAGGTGCGTCACGAGAGGAGGTCTTCCAAGCAGTCATTGAAGGGCTGAAGCACTTCGTACCCCCGCAGGTCGAGACACCTGCCAGTCTCTCCCGAGATGACATCCTCGAGGCCGTTAGAGAATGTCTAGAGGAATTCGAGTTTCCAGTTGCGCCTTCCGCAAGTGATCTTACCCGCGACGATGTCCTGGACGCCGTGAAGGAAGGGTTGAGTACGAGCAATAGTACGGCCCTAGTGCCCCATGGTGGAGATAACGCCGAGGTTATGGAACGCCTTCACGATATTATGCAGTATATGCGTGATGAATTTAAAGCCGTCTCCGAAGAAGCAAAGCAGAATGTTGCTGCGAACGGAAGAGACACCGAGCAACTCTTAGATGCCACGAGAGATGGCCTCGACCAGCTCCGAACGCATATGGAAGGCTATGTTGACAAAGCTATCGGAACTTCTAGCCAGGAGGAGCTTATGGTTAATCTCGAGAATGGCTTTGAACAGCTGCGCGAGCACATGGAAGGATATGTCGACAAAGCTGCCAGCGCTTCCGGCCAAGAGGAGTTGATAACAAATATCGCCAACAGCCTCGAGGATTTACGAACATATATGGAGAAAGATACTACCGATAAGGCCTCGAGTGCTCCAAGTGTATCCGATCAAGAAGAACTAATGGTCACTCTCGTCAATAACTTCGATCAGCTACGGACACACATGGAGGGCTATGTCGACAAGGCATCGGGTGTTTCCAACCAGGAGGAACTCATGACTAATGTTGTCAACAGCTTCGATATCTTCCGTGATGAAGTTTCCGAGCTCGTCGCGAAGCTATCTGATGGTTCTAGAGACCTGATCAGGCAGGAAATCGAATCCCTTCGGGACACTGTGAACTCTTCCCTTGTCCCTCATGTACCGCAAGTGAGCGACAATAGAGAACTGCTCGAGGTTATTCGTGAGGGCATTGAAAGGGTACGAGGGGACATGCACCGTCCTCTTCCGGGGACTACCGAAATCCTCGATGCTTTGCATGAAGGCTTTAGTGATCTGCGGCTCATTATCGAAAAGGTTGGCAACAAGCCAGCTGATCTAACAGCTAACGACGAAATCCTCGACGCTCTCAAATCCGGACTGGACGGCGTCCGAACGAATATCGACTCTCTCCGCGAGGGAAATCAGGAAAAAGCCGTTGCGACTGTCGGCTCTGCAGACTCGGCTCCATCTCCGAGCAACGCCCTCATACCCGCTGATCTCGTCAAGCATGATGATATCAAGAACCTTGAAGTCATGATGACGCAGCTCCGAATTAAGATGGATTCGATGGAGACGCCTCAGCCCCCGCCAATGCCAGAAGGGTTCTTGTCTAAGGATGATCTGGCGGAGGTCGAAGAGATGCTCAGAAACGGTGTGTCTAAAGACGATCTAAACGAGATCGAAGAAATGCTTCGAAACATGCAGGAGTCGATGCCTGGTGCACAGACCAGCAAAGAG